TCTTCACCATGCTGGAGGAATTTGTCCCCTAAATTTCTGAGCCCATAGTTTGGGTCAGCCATGTTACTACGGCTCACAGGCCAGCCAAGTCCTCCGTACACACTCACATTGCTCATGTAGTTCTGCCAGGATTTGGTGACGGAGGGCAGTTTGTCCTTCTTCCTCCAGTTTGGGGGTGACCCTTCCCGTACCGGCTCCTGGAGGAGATATAAAAGCAGGGGGAGCCGTGCCACCCATCAGGACCTCAACACAAAGAGGCTTATTAAAGGCAATGGTGAGTTCTAGTTTAGTTCCTGTTACTGTTTTACATATATTAAAAAAGAAAGTATGTTGTGTATGCATGTATGTATGTATATGTGTGTACAGTATGCATGTATGTATGTACAGTATGTATGTGTGTACAGTATGCATGTATGTATGTATGTACAGTATGTATGTGTGTACAGTATGCATGTATGGATGTACAGTATGTATGCGTGTGTGTACAGTATGTATGTGTGTACAGTATGCATGTATGAAGGTATATATGAAGGAATGTATGTATGCGTGTGTGTGTACAGTATAGTAGGCATGTATGTATGTACAGTATGTATGTGTGTACAGTATGCATGTATGTACAGTATGCATGTATGGATGTACAGTATGTATGCCTGTGTGTACAGTATGCATGTATGAAGGTATATATGAAGGAATGTATGTATGCGTGTGTGTGTGTACAGTATGCATGTATGTACAGTATGTATGTGTACAGTATGCATGTACAGTATAGTAGGCATGTATGTATGTACAGTATGTATGTGTGTACAGTACGCATGTATGTATGTACAGTATGCATGTATGGATGTACAGTATGTATGCCTGTGTGTACAGTATGCATGTATGAAGGTATATATGAAGGAATGTATGTATGTATGTGTGTACAGTATGCATGTATGTATGGATGTACAGTATGTATGCGTGTGTGTATGAAGGTATATATGAAGGAATGTATGTATGCGTGTACAATATCCATGCATGTATGAAGGTATATATGAAGTAATTTATGTATGTGTGTGTGTACAGTATGCATGTATGTATGTATGTATGTACAGTATGTATGTGTGTACAGTATGTATGTGTGTACAGTATGCATGTATGTATGTACAGTATGTATGTGTGTACAGTATGCATGTATGTATGTACAGTATGTATGTGTGTACAGTATGCATGTATGTATGCATGTATGTATGTACAGTATGTATGTGTGTACAGTATGCATGTATGAAGGTATATATGAAGGAATATATGTATGCGTGTGTGTACAGTATGCATGTATGAAGGTATATATGAAGGAATGTATGTATGCGTGTGTGCACAGTATGCATGCATGTATGTATGTGTGTACAGTATGCATGTATGTATGGATGTACAGTATGTATGCGTGTGTGTATGAAGGTATATATGAAGGAATGTATGTATGCGTGTACAATATGCATGTATGTATGAAGGTATATATGAAGGAATGTATGTATCATGTGTGTATACGGATAGCTGTTTCCTGCTTTTGGCTTCACTGCTCCTTTTTACTATAGCAGTCTATGAGTTGGCCAACCCCAGTGATTGCAGAGCTCCCTCTAGTGGCTAATCTCTATATTATTGCTACCTTAAAGGAGAACTATGGGGTTGAGGCTTTTCCCCATAGTTCTCCTTAGGGTAACGGGAGGACACAAACTAGCGTCCTCCCGTCACCAAAAAGCTCAGTATATAGGGAGCTACAGCTCGCGGTATACTGAGACGCCGCAGCCGGAGCGGATGCCGACATTACTGTCTGGATCCACCCAGCAGCGTGAGTGACAGCCGGCTCTGCCTATCTAGAGGCAGAGCCAGCTGTACCCGCCCCCTGCCCCGTCCGTTCCGCCAGTCAGCGCTGGAGGATCGGAGAGGGGGGAATCTCTGCAGGGATAGATCGAGAAGTGAGCGAGCGCCGGTGTGTGTGTGTGTGTGTGTGTGTGTGTGTGTGTGTGTGTGTGCGCGCGCGCGCACTCGACAAGCCACGTGCGACTTCTGATGCCATGCAAATAACTAATAAACCATCTACAACTGAGGGTATCAGGCCGAGGAACCGCTCCTGGATCATTTGGTTGTGACAGATGACTATAGATGGGGATCCACATACAGCGATGAACACATTGTAGTTGTATTGGGAATACTCACCTTGGATGCGATCATGTACGGCGGGATAATCTCCACCCCCATCTCCTGGAATAATTCGCGGCACTGCATGGTAATGAAATCACCAGCCAGGGGCGACTTGACGATACCTGCAAGACAGACACAGCGTCGCCGGAGACCCATACCTGGATGGATGGACCACCACACTTTCACATTTGGGAGGGGGTAGGGGGGGGAGACTTTTTAGCATTCTTTGCAGCGCTGGTACTTTACCGATATAACGGGCTGGTGTGATTGATAAATGAATAAACATTTGTCATAGAAGTAATACCGCTTAATGAAAATATCCAGTTTACAATAATTAAAGCTGAACTGACATAATCACCGAGCTGTGCAGAGAGCAGAGCTGTGGGAGGGACTCAGCAGGCCCCACCTACTACAGGAAACTACAGGAGGGGGCGGAGACAAGACCAGTCACCCTGCACAAGGACAGAGAGCAGCAATGAGCGGTCTTTATTACAGGAGGGGGCGGAGACAAGACCAGTCACCCTGGATTACTGTCACAGATCTGGAAGAAATACACAAAGCTCGCCGAGATTCAGGAAGAACACACATGACAATAGTTCTTTATCCCGGAGTTACGCTTTAAACCTTGAACCTGCTGTTGCAGCCTTTAGACCCCCCACAGAGTTCAGGGAGATGTGACCCTCTGTCCCCGCTGCCACTCACCCTGCTGCAAGACGTAGCCATCGTGGACCGGTAGCGCGGTGGTGTGGGTGGCCCCGCTGTCCAGGACCAGGCCTGTGGAACGGCCGTTGGCAAATCTACGGAGAGCGAGGGGTTAAGGAAAGCGCCTGCGCTGAGGACACGCTGCGCACTGCAAATGAACTTTGCAGAACGCAATCCCGCTCGGCCGCACACTGTGAAGGATACGCGGTGAGGACGGCCGTCTTGCACAGGAAGAAGGCGGGGATGTTATAATGTTCAAACATCAACTCGGTGAGCTTCTCTCGCTTGGCTCGGGCATTCCACTGCATGATACAAAGATGGAAAATTAAGACCCGCCCCTGCAGGGCAACACAGACAGAAGGCGCTATGAGTCATATAGAAATAAGACACGCCCCTGCAGGGCAACACAGACAGAGGGGGCTGAGTCATATAGAAACAGGACCCGTCCCTGCAGGGCAACACAGACAGAGGGGGCTATGAGTCATGTAGAAATAAGACCCGCCCCTGCAGGGCAACACAGACAGAAGGGGCCTATGAGTCATATAGACATAAGACACGCCCCCTGCGAGTTGACACAGACAGAAGTCATATAGAAATAGCAGTGACACTTACGGGCGCCTCTGACATGAGAACGGGGTGTAGGGCCGGGTCAGACTTCAGGTGCTTGTTGAATGTGTGGTCCAGAATGGCTTGGAAGGCCTCCCAATCTTCAACTGTTAAGATACAACGTCAACATATGTAGATGATGAGAGATGAAAAGGGGGCACGTTGGAGTACATGGTGACACGGGGTATATGGTGAGTGGGGTACATATTGAGTGGGGTACATATTGAGTGGGGTACATGGTGAGTGGGGTATATGGTGAGTGGGGTACATGGTGTACACAAAGCTCGCCGAGATTCAGGAAGAACACACATGACAATAGTTCTTTATCCCGGAGTTACGCTTTAAACCTTGAACCTGCTGTTGCAGCCTTTAGACCCCCCACAGAGTTCAGGGAGATGTGACCCTCTGTCCCCGCTGCCACTCACCCTGCTGCAAGACGTAGCCATCGTGGACCGGTAGCGCGGTGGTGTGGGTGGCCCCGCTGTCCAGGACCAGGCCTGTGGAACGGCCGTTGGCAAATCTACGGAGAGCGAGGGGTTAAGGAAAGCGCCTGCGCTGAGGACACGCTGCGCACTGCAAATGAACTTTGCAGAACGCAATCCCGCTCGGCCGCACACTGTGAAGGATACGCGGTGAGGACGGCCGTCTTGCACAGGAAGAAGGCGGGGATGTTATAATGTTCAAACATCAACTCGGTGAGCTTCTCTCGCTTGGCTCGGGCATTCCACTGCATGATACAAAGATGGAAAATTAAGACCCGCCCCTGCAGGGCAACACAGACAGAAGGCGCTATGAGTCATATAGAAATAAGACACGCCCCTGCAGGGCAACACAGACAGAGGGGGCTGAGTCATATAGAAACAGGACCCGTCCCTGCAGGGCAACACAGACAGAGGGGGCTATGAGTCATGTAGAAATAAGACCCGCCCCTGCAGGGCAACACAGACAGAAGGCGCTATGAGTCATATAGAAATAAGACCCGCCCCTGCAGGGCAACACAGACAGAAGGGGCCTATGAGTCATATAGACATAAGACACGCCCCCTGCGAGTTGACACAGACAGAAGTCATATAGAAATAGCAGTGACACTTACGGGCGCCTCTGACATGAGAACGGGGTGTAGGGCCGGGTCAGACTTCAGGTGCTTGTTGAATGTGTGGTCCAGAATGGCTTGGAAGGCCTCCCAATCTTCAACTGTTAAGATACAACGTCAACATATGTAGATGATGAGAGATGAAAAGGGGGCACGTTGGAGTACATGGTGACACGGGGTATATGGTGAGTGGGGTACATATTGAGTGGGGTACATATTGAGTGGGGTACATGGTGAGTGGGGTATATGGTGAGTGGGGTACATGGTGAGTGGGGTACATGGTGAGTGGGGTACATGGTGAGTGGGGTATATGGTGAGTAGGGTACACAGGCAGAGGGCTATAAGGTGAGTCAGTACTTAGTTGAGGAGTTATACGGTGAGAAGGGTACATGGGGCTTAATGGGGTTCAGTAGGATATCTCTGTACAGAGGATCAGAGGTCATGGGCATGCACAGGAACTCAGGTGTGGAGGGCAGTGTCAGGTTTCGGGGCCCCTTGTTGAGGTTCTTCAGGATTCTTTGTGGATATGTTACATAGAAGTGACACCCGGCACACGGCAGATGGTCTCACCCATGACAATGGAGGGTTATGGGTAATGACGGCAGCCAATGCTGGTAAGCACAGGATGGCACAGTGCGGGCAGACAGCCGGTACAGAACAGACATGGTTTGGTGGAGAGTTGACACGTCAGGCTCACTCATTCCGTTCTTCAGCGGAGAGGTGACCTCGGCGTGAGGCCGCGGCACATGCAGACAGGTGGTGTCGATATAGTACACTCGGCTCAGCTTGCGCTCTTTCTCCGGGTCAGAGGAGACGGACTCATCCGGTGAAAAGGCGCCCAGGGTGGTCGGGAAGTCAGCCTGATGGGAGAAAAGACAGAGGAGCTCAGGTTTAGAGTAAAATACCTATCAGGCACCTCATCATATCTGCACATTACCACATCGCATCACCACATCGCATCACCACATCGCGTCTCCACATCCTGTCTCCACATCCTAACCCCACATCACATCTCCACATCGTATCACCACATCGTATCTCCACATCGTATCTCCACATCCTAACACCACATCGCTTCTCCACATCGTATCTCCACATCCTAACACCACATCGTATCACCACATCGTATCACCACATCGTATCACCACATCGTATCCGTTCTGTCAGTATCAGATTCTTGAAGAGTAACTCCTCTGCGGGTGATCAATGTTCTTTGCCCGGATATTAAACTTTGTTGCAGATTGTGACCTTGTCCTGCTCTAAGGAAAAAGCGTTTTGTGTCACCACGTCCTTCCCAGACTGATCACTTCACAGGAAGTTCTGATGACTGAGTGGGAGGGGCTATGTTTGGTATAATCAGCTGGTGGACTTTCTGTGTTGTAATGAGGAAAGTTGCAGTGTCGGCGTCCCTTTACATAACTCCCGGGGAAGTATCTCAACACTGATACCACACATGAAAATTCCTATGGCAAGGGATTCCCAAAATGTCACTTGTATCTGTGA